ACTTAACTGCAACAAATTCAAAATTTTCTTAAGCAAACTATTCAAACTACGAAAATTTTGTATGTCAATTTAGTTAGTGAAGCAACTAAGTTCGCAAAAATTTAAGTTTTTGTTTTGACGCCATTCTAGCGAAAAAACTTTTCAAGTTATTTCATACCACAAATCGGTTTGCGGAAACTTTTTTTTTCTAGGCAAGCTGTTCAAGTGATGTAACCCTAAAAGTTTTTAAAGTTACTTCATTGAGCAAACTCTACGCAATAAGTTCAAGTTGTTGTTAAACAAGTTATGCAAGCTATAAATTTTTAATATTTCAATTTATTTCATCAATCATAAAGATGGCAAAAAGTTAGGTTTTTTATTTGAAGTCATTTGAGCATTGAAATCATTCAAGCTCTTCATACAACGAATTGGTTTTCAAAATTTTAAAGTTTTCTAAGCAAGCTGTTCAAGCAATGTAACCTCAAAAAACTTCAAGTCAAGTTAATTTATGGAGCGAAGTGTACTACAACAGGTGCAAGTTTTCTTAAGCAAGCTATTCAAGCTATGAAATTTCATTATGTCAATTCATTTCATTAAGCGAATAGGTTGACAAAAAGTTTAAATTTTTTACCGAATCGATTTGCGAACAGCTTAAATTATTTAAGCAAGCTAATCAAGCTATGGAATATTTCAAGTTATTTCATAGAGCATATCAGTTTGCTAAAAAAAATAAAATATTGAAATAAACTATTCAAGCTATAAAACTATGAAATTTTTCAAGTTATTTATTGACCGAATCCTTGGTTAAAAAAATTAAAGCAAGCTACTCCAGTTTTGAAATTTTTTCTAAAATTAATATTGACGAGTTGGATTGCGAAAAAGTTAAAGTTTTTCAATGCATGCAATTCGAGCTGTGAAACAGTTCAAGTTATGAAACTTTTAAGAACTTCAGATTTTTTCATTGACCGAATTAATGGTAAACATTCAAGTTTGTTTAATCAAGTTATTCAAAAACAGTATTGGTTTGCTAAAAAAATAAGTTTTTTCCAATCAAGTTAATTCACACACTGAGTTGGTCTGTGAAAAAGTTCATTAGTTATTTCATAGACCGAATTGCATATGAAATTTCGAAAATTCTGAAAAACTACCCGCCCGAATCTAATATCAAGTGTTTAATTGAAAGAGCAAGTTGTAGGAAGCCTCCGTGCATCAAAGGCTACGCCCTAAAGTTTGCATGACTTCTTAGAAAATTAGCAAATCCTCAAAAAATTTTACTCTGTTTTATTAGAGAAGCGACTAAGATTTTGAATGAAGCCCGATTTTTGAAGTTTTGAAACAACCTACCTTATCATGAATCAGTACAGCAAAGTCAAAAATTATCAATCATGTACTTCCAGCTTTAGCTGGGCTTCTAGATCAAATATCTTGCCTGATATGTTCGACTATAGAGTTTCTGATGGATAAAAACAGGTTTTATAAAAAAATGCTTGGGATAGAGTTTTTCTGAAACGCTTTTAAAAAACTTTTCACTTTTTGCGAAAACAGATTTTTTCTCCAAAAATACTCAGCCGCTTTTCAAAAATAGGGTATCAATGGAAAGATATCATGATCTTTTGTGTGCCTGCATAATCCTCTGGTCTCTTTTTTATACTTTACCTCACTGTCTATAGCCTTCAAAAAATTGTGTGAAGGGAAAATTTTACCAATTGTTTGCACTTTTTTTCGTTTTGTGGCACGAACAAAACTTTTAGACAAAATCAAATCTTTTTCGAGCAAGCGGTTAAATTTTTCTCACCCAAAAAATTTTGGCCTTTGGACTTTTATTCGCTTGTATTTTTAATGAGTTCTTTGAACTTTTATTCGTTTCTCGGTGATTTTGTTACTTTTCTTGATAAATATCTTGTCCTTTTCTCAGATTATAGGTTCAATAAAAAAGTGGTAGGATTCTTTGTTGCATAAACCGGCACGCCTTTTTGCAGAAAAATTTTACACCTTTCCGAAAAGTCAAAGTTGTTTTTTTTCTGGATCTTTCTCAAAAACGACTTTACTAAAATTCGATGCTTGGCGTTCAATTGAAGGAACAGGTTGCGAGTTTTTTTTCCGCAAAAACGCCAACGCCCTAGTTTTTGTAATAAAAATGCTACGTCCTTGACGAAAGTGATTTTTTTGATGTTTCCCCGTTTTTGCACTTTTTGCACATTTTTTAAATCTTCTGGAAAACTATGTTGCCAAATGTGAGATTTTGAGTTCAACCGGAAAAAAAGCTATGGGAACCTTCCTGCTCCGCAGCTACGGTTTCGATCGAAAGAAAATTTTGGGAAATCTTTGATCACATTTTGGAAGTTTTTTTCCTCAAACATTTCCCGCCAATTATGATGTTAATGTTTCAATTGAGTGAACCTGGTGCTTAAATTTTTCTGCCTAAACGGTTGCATCCTTTTGTTTGTAGAAAATCCGGTATGACCTTAAGAAAAGTCCAATTTTCAGAGTTTTCCTGGTTGCAATTCTACTTTTCTTGAGATCTTCATTGTCAATTTCTATATTGAGTTAAAATGATAAAAGCTGTATTAAACATCTCCTGAACGTAAACGGCCATTTCATTATTTTTTTAGAGAAACCCAATTAGGTTTTGTGTAAAATCTAATTTTCGAAATTTGAAATTAACGCAATTCATCTCACGTCAGTACAAATATCAAAAAAATCACATATGAATAAAAAAAATATTGATCAAGTACCCCTAGTTTTATCGGGGCCCTTAATTCAATTGATGACAATGCAAAAATTTGATCAATACTGGATTCTAAATTAATTTTCATTTTTTCTTCATTTATTTCCATTTTTTCTTCATTTTTTTAAAACGTTATATCTTGATCGCTTTTTTTTTCTCACATAGCCAATAGAAAAGCTAAAATATTGCGTATGTATTCATAATAAAAAGTATTACATCAAATTAAATTGTAATAATTGATAAATAAATTTTATTTTGTCATTGAATCCAATTTTTTACTACCCGCGTCGGTTCTTGATTGATTTTCAAACTTACTAAATCGCGCAGATAATATTTTTTTTGTTTTTACACTTTCATTTTTTGGCAGATCGAGATTCAGTCGCAATAGTTTTTATATCGACTAAATGATTTTTGTAGATCTGCTTTCACTCAGTAAAAAAACTGATAAGGTTTTCATTGATGGACTTCGGCATAATGTTGGATAGTGTTTTCGGCACTAATAGTAGGTCAAATAAATCATTTCTGGCATGTTTCTGGTCTCAATCACATAAAACCTGTAACACTCCGAATGAGACGCAAAAAAAGGTTTTGATCCCAGATTTTTTCAATCAATTACCCGGGACGAGATTTGTGACTAATTTGCCAATGCTTACCTGCAGACAGAATTTGGAAATATTGAAAATTGGTCGCGAAAAGCTGGAAATTAGTTGTGAAAATTAGTTGCAAAAATGATCTCAAACAAGAATTGGAGGAGCAATAATTGACGGTAAGATTTATTTGCTTTTGAGGTTTTGATACCACAATGAGTACACATTTAAAATCTAAAATTGAGAAAAAAAACTATATAGCAACATAAAAATAACACAGCAAGCTTTAAATTTCAAAAAATATATGAAAAATGAAACAAGAAGTTTCATTTTATGTCATTGTTTGTTTTACAAAATCATGACTAGCTGAATTGTATTGGTATGAACTTCAATGACATGCAATTTTGACCTGCTTAAGTTGCACATAAAAGTTGAAACTCAACTGAATACAGAAGTTTTGCAAATACTTTTCGATAGAAGAAAGTATCTTTTTGATAGTCTAAATTCGAGTAAGTAAAGCGAGCGAGCAGGTTTACAATGGGTTATTTTAACAGCTTAAAAGCTTCAATAGCTTAATTTGGGCCGTAAAAAAATTACTCGAGTAAATTTAATTTTTTTTGAGTTTTTAGCGTTTTTTCAGAATCAAAACTATCAAAAATTCAAAACACTACTGAAAATTTTTTGAGACTAAACTGTTGACTGGATAGGCGCAGGTCTTTGGAATCCAGAGACAAGTCTCAAAGCCTGTTAAAGTTTTGAAAGAATACGAAAGAACAGAGAAAGATTAAAGAGAACGTCCTTGTTGCGTAATCCGCTTACAATTCACAAAATACAAAATTTTGGCCTCGTTTTGTTTTTCTAGCTTTTCATCCACGGAAAATTAGGCACCACAAAAAATCATCGAAATGGGTCAATTGATATATCATATTAAAGCCCGGTCAGTCGTGAGTCGAAGGACATTTAGTGTTGAGAAAGGCTTGATTGAATTTTTAGATTTTTGATTTAATTTCGTGCGATTAAGGTGAACAAGCAGGCTTATTTTGGTTTTCATCCAAAAGCATTTACAAACACCAAAATTCGAAGTTTAAATATGCCGATTTTTTAATAAAACGATTGGAACATTTACTTTGTTTCAAATCATTTTGGATTAGTTTTTGAGTTAGACTCGTTAATTTTTATTCTCTAGATGTTAACAGTGAACTGGAAGTTCCACATAATATAATTGTCCCAAACTAGTCAAAATTTGTTCTTTTCAAGCTCCAAAATTTTACAAAAATCTTCACTGTTGAAGTTACCTTTTAAAACTTCAGCTTCCTGTTAAATATTGTATAGCTTATTAACTTTTTTTCGCCCGGCATGCTCGCTTTAATTGCACTGATACTTTGTCGATTCTATCAGACTTATGCTTAACTAATTTCACCTTTGTTTTTTAATATTTTTTCACAAATCAATGCTTCCTAATATTTACAATATTTGGCGGACAACTTTTCCTGGAATGCCCGGTAGCGCACGAACCTCCTTCATTTGCAAAGTTCCGGCAGCGAAAATCTGGAAAAACATAACAACAACTACCCGTGTTTTACAAAGGTGTCGGCAACGAATATGTCTTTTATGTGGGTGGTTCGTTTACTTCACTGTTGTGATCGGGGTCATTCAAGTGTGACAATACTGCAGAGGGAAATTAATGTCACACATCAAAAGGGGAAACTCAGAAATGTTGTATTTTCAGAAAAGGGGAAACTCAAGTCTATTTTTAGGTGGGCATTATCAGTTAGGTCGAGCCGTCAGCTGATTGACTTTATGGTTACACTTGCTGTATTATCTCGCATAAGAACCATTGTCTGAAACCTTAAAACAAACAAAAGTTGCTTCAAATTTGCCCTGTGCAATACGTCTAAAATTTATAAAGCCAAAGTTAAATTATTACCTATCCATTTGCTGACGGTAAGATTTATTCCTACAATCATTTTTCAGAAGATACTTTTTAAATAGCACAAACTAGGTTGTTTAAATGGTCCTCGCTGGCTTTGTTTTTTTTTGTACCATACGGTTCTCGTTTGCCTCAAGATAACTTTATGTGTCTTCAGCCTGTTCAGTTTATTTCGTTGGATTTTAAAATTTGGATCCACTTATTGTCAAAAAAGTGAATATTTCTGTATATCTGAAAAACTGAGTTTTTTATTACTCACTGATTTTCCAAAAATTTCCTCAATCGACCAGAACATTCAATTTTATGGAAATTTAGAATTGTGTTTTGTAATCAATCAGCAAGCCAATTCCAAAAAACTTCAGAGGTTAAAGAGCCCTCTGCGCTGGCCTCGCGCTGCAAAAGAAGACCAGTGGTTTTGGTTACTGTTTTCTTTGGCTGCTTTTTCAAAAACCACCTTTTTGATATTTCACAACATGAAATTTGAATTCATTCGTTGGATATTTCAAAATTTTTTGATCCGCATTGATCAAAATTTGAAATTAAAAAAAATATATGTTTCTAACTCTATTTTTATGTTTTTACGCTAGACTTGCTTGAAAAAAAAAAGAGATGAGAGCTACTTAATATTTCAAAACCTGATCTGCATTGATCAATTTTGAAGTTATATTTAATCAACCTGTTTTGAACTCTGCTAGACTTGCATGTAGATAAACAAACATATAATCTATTCCATCCAATTCAGAAATTTTCAAAATTCAATTCAAGCTAGCTATAATTGGTTCAAAAATTTTCTACTAAGTGTGAAACGTATCATTTTGTACGTAAAATTGCGTGTGAAATAATGTCAGTTCTATCGCATTTATGCCAAATATTTTTCACCCTTATTTTTAGCTTTTTTCCGCAAAATGATTCATTTCAAAATTTCTACATGTTTTTCATTGCTGCCGCATACTTCAGCTTTGGCCACGCTGGCTATAGTTAGCTTTTTTTTTGCTTCGTCAGTTTACTGAAAAACCCAATAATTTTATAAGGCTGTTTTTTGCAGGTATTTGAAATTTTGTCGATATATACCTGAACCCCATGTACAATGCGTCCGCAGCTATATGTAATGCATACCATACAGCACGACTTGTTGTACGTTGGGTAAAAAATAATGTTGAAAAATATTCGTCAAAGTTGAGATTTTGTCTCCAAAATAGTTTCAAACCGCTAATAGAGCGGTTTGAAACTATTAGTAGATTCATTGAAAAATAATTAAAGATTTCGTTTCGCAAATTTTTTGTTTGAAATAGATACATTATAACCATTATCTAGAATATTTTAAATACATAAGTTTGATAAAAAAAGTTTTCCAAAATTGATTTTAACTTGTTATTGAAATATAGAAACACATTCAAAACAAATTTTGCGAATTTTTCTTGATTTTTGGACAAACATTACTATTTTAGATCTTTTTTCATTGGAGAAATGTATAATAGCAAAAATTTCCTAAGTATCTTAGAAAAGTTCTAAGATACAGGAGTTTTTCACAGATTTCTTTATTTAGCAAAAAGTAATTAAAAAACGTCGAAAGGTTGTCGAAATTTTCATATTTTTTCTCTGATGCGAATATTGCGGGCTTATGGGAAACGATATGAGAGTTTGAGTATAGTTTTTATTTAGATAAGGATTAGAATTTGATTTGTTTTGGTTTGACAATTTTTCATAATTAATATAATGGTAACATTTATAAACAAAAAACTGAAAAAAAAAGTTTTTTCCTTTTTTAAAGATTTGTCTCCTGGCACGCTATGTTAATACAAAATGATATTATTTGCTGGTTTTAATTTACAAATATAGCTGAACTGCCACCCTCAATTTATTTTGGAAGGATACAATTTGCAGCTCACACTTCACGCGTTAATTATATAACTGCAATACTTATATATATCAATGCAATTATACTTCAAAATTTTACAAAAGTTGGTCGCAGCTAGCTTACTGTTTAAAAAACCGAGTGCGAAACATCACTACCAGAAGATATAAAAGAAGCGATTTAAAAATGGCATTTAAAAAATCTGAAGAAAAAACAGGAGGACAATTATTCCGCCGGCTTACTCAAATGTTATAACAGTGGAATAATCACTGAGACTAAGTGATTTAAAACTTCTATTCTTTCAAAGTTGCAAAAAAGTGGCTTTGGAGCTCGACGCGGTTCTGAAGAAACATTTCAGTAGTTTGAACTCCTGTGACTGAACACAATCGATTCATTTTCATCTTTCTTCGTCCTTGATTCTTCTAGCGCCCAAAAGAAGACATCAAAATTCAACCCATATATACCCGAGTCGATAATTTTGCAAAAAAAACTTCCGTGAAAAGAAAGCGAGCCTGCCGAATTTTTAGTACTAATGTTACGCAAGTTATCATGGAAAAAATTCCCAATGGCGCTCAATTAGGAGCTCAATGTTTTGAAGATGGGGCTCATTCAGCTCCTTTTATGCAAAAACAGTTCTTATGGAGGGACTCGATACTGCTCATTGAGTCCTCAAGATCTCTGCCACTGGTTTTTCCAGCGGGCGCTGAAGTACAAAAAAAACTCGACAAACAAAATTAATTGAAAAGATTAAAATGTACCCTTGTCAATCAAGGAGGGTAGTCTTACAAGTTCCTGCAAAAATTTTGCACTTCGATTCAAAATACGATGCACCTTTTTAAAAATCACATAAAGAAATTTTCTAAAAGCTGAGAGAAATACAGAGAAAATGAAGTTTTTTGAAGTTGACCACTTTGTTTAATTTTGCTGTCTACGCTTGGCATGTTGATGGTCATAACTTTTTCTAAATTTCATTCAACTGAAGCTAATTTGAACGAGTGTATGGGTTTATTGGAAGCAGAAAAATGTTTAATGAAATCTATAATGAGAGATGGCACCTATGTTTTCATGATGTGGGAACGCAATTTTTTGAAACCTCGTCAACCTTTTTTTCTTAGGTGGACCCAATTATTTTTCTTCGCTCTCCAAAAACACTTTATAAGTAAATACTAAAAACACTAACACTAACTGTAAGACCGGCAATTTTTTTAAATCAGTCCTAATTGCCATTTTTTGACAGTTTTTGAATCCCTCTTTGTACTATTTTGAGATATCCATTTTTGGTGACGGACCCTTAAATTTTTCTAAAAACGCCAATATATACTTGCTTTGAGGGGGGAACGCGCGCCAAAAAAACGCAATTTTTTTGTCAACATTTTTCAAAAAATGCCTAAAACGCCTTTTTTTGGCCTGTTTTTTTTTCAAAATTTTGCCTGCGGCGCAGAAAATTTGGTCAAAATGGGGTCTTTATAGTGATCTAGGAGAGTTCAGAAAATCAATTTAGTCGATATATTTCGCCCTTCCTCTCGAGAAAATCCTAGATCTACCCTTGGTCCCATTTGAATGACGGTAAGCAATGCAGCAAGGTGGAATCCCTCATAGGCGAAGGACCGATTGGGCGAAAATAAAAATTAGCCAATCAGATTTCAGTATTCTAAAATTTGGAAAGAAAACAGGAAAATCTCAAAGAAATTAAACATTTCTAGGAACTTAGTATTAATATTGGCCGAATATAAGAACGGCAGAAATATACAACATTTTCAAATTGTGACTGACCGCCGGCGAATTGAAACAAATTGTATTTTGTTCAAGGTTTTTGTTATAAAAGAAGCTAAATATTGCTTCTTTTATTTCCTCTTAATTGAAAAACAATTGATTCATTTAATAATTGACTTTCGACTGTTTTTGTTTTTGTTCCTTCACCCATGAGTCCTTCGCCCATTCGGTCTTTTGCCCATGAGAATAGCCCCCATGCAGCAAATTATTGCCCGAGTGAAGAAACTTAAATGTATATCTAATCCTCAAAACTTTGGTCATCAGTTTAATTAGCTTCCGGTTTTTAAAAGAATTAAAGAGCATTTTGCTTCTAGTGTTAAACTTTTATGCATTCACTTTATTTTGGCGATATCTCGACGACTTTAATAAAAAAAAACAAATCAATGTATTGTTTTGCACTTCGAAGAAAGTGACGGAATATTTGTTCTCATTGTGTGTTTTTCTTCAGACAAATCACAATTTGCAATTTACAAGTTTTGTAACCACTTTTTGACACCATTTACCTATAAACTGATTAGTGGTCACAAGTGTAAACTTGAACAAAAAAAAGAAAAAGATAGTTGACCTGAAAATCAAACCTCGTGTAAGAAGATGTTATTTATTGAGTGTAGCCATTTGTAGCAGCCACAGAGGCAACAGCATGATGTTTTATAACCTTGACATTGAATGAAAATTGTTAGGACAATTAAAAAGCCTTATTTCATCTTGCGCGCTGTTTTTGCAATCAATGAAATCGCAGTTAAAGTGCAAAAAATGGAAAACAAAAGCCACCTGTTTTTAAATTTTGAGTGGAGTGTTTAATTGGCGCAGCGGAATAGGTCTGGTAGCGTAAATTGTAAATTATTATCGTATCGAGGGGTGTTTGGCTATTAAATAGACGGAAACACAGCAGACTCATTTCAGAAAGGGTTTTAAGCAGTAGCAGAAATAACAAAATAACAAATTAATTTTTGATGGTCGACATTGGTATATATTCTTCCTAGTTTGAGGGTGAAACCGCGTTGAAAGCTCCGAAAATCCTTTGAACTTTGACCTGACGGGAGCATAATCAGGGCAAAAAAGACCGATTGCAATTCAACCTTGTGTTATTTGAAACAAAATGTGGTCTTTAACTTTGGCACGTGCCGCTTTACTTAAACTTAGTGACAGTTTTTCCCTCAAAAGTTTCGGTATAATCTTTCTTATACCAACTCGTGAATTATAAACGACAGTGCTATTTACAAAGGTTGCTCAACATATTTAAGCTGACGAACTTCCTGTTTTTTTTTTCTGAAGGTATAAAATCGTCTGTCTATTTTTCGACTTAGCGTCCTTAATTCCGTTCAACATTTCAGCGACCGCTGTTCAGGTAGTCAAGGGAGGGAAACACGTTTATCTAATTGAACT